AACTCCCCGTCTCCTGGTGGTTGGCCCAAAGTCACCCGATTGGCTTTCATGCCTGTATTAAATTAACAACAATGATTCACTTAACAACTACGGCGAGAAAGTAGGTAAAATGAGGCAGCTCGCTTGACAACCGTCTTGCTTCACAGTGAAAACCTTTGGATTCAGTTATGGTCGTAAGTCGAGGACTACCTGTAACACCTTCTGAGTTCACAGAGTTACGGCTGGCCGCCCGTATAGGGGCAGTTTTGCCGATCGCTTTTTAAAACGCCAGCAGCAAATTTCTACGCAGGGGATTCGCTGAACGTGGTGGAAGTCTTCGACCCCGTAGCCAACCACTGGGAGAAGTGCCAGCCAATGACCACGGCACGCAGCCGGGTGGGCGTGGCCGTGCTGAATGGACTCTTGTACGCCATTGGGGGATACGACGGGCAGTGGCGGCTGAGCACCGTGGAAGTCTACAACCCCGAGACGGATTCCTGGTCCAGGGTGGGCAGCATGAACAGCAAACGGAGGTGCGTGGCGGGTGGGCTTCCCACGGGTCTGGAAGGGGGTCCCAAGCGCGTTGGCCGGGGAATTCGAGGAGCGGGAATCCTCCCCTCTTAAAATCGAGGTGGCTGAGCCACACTTTTGAAAAGTCGGTCGTCCTGAAGTCTCTGGTCTCTGCCTTGTTTCAGTGCGATGGGGACTGTGGTCCTGGACGGACAGATCTACGTTTGTGGGGGCTACGACGGCACCTCCTCCCTGAATTCGGTGGAGGCCTATTCGCCTGAGACGGACAAGTGAGTATCCCCGAATGCCATTGGTGAGGTGTGTGTGCCACTACCGCAACTTCCCCCTCTCCTTTGCTGACCTTGTGAAGGTGGACGGTGGGAACCCCAATGAGCTCCAATCGCAGCGCAGCCGGCGTCACGGTCTTCGAAGGCCGCATCTTCGTCTCCGGCGGACATGATGGCTTGCAAATCTTCAACAGCGTAAGTCTGTTCTGGGGCTGTGGTTTGTTTCTGGTCTGTCCCTAGCGACCAGGAGGGCCGCCAGAGTCTTTCAGGAAGAGATTCGACAACCGTTTGTTGTCATGGCCCCTATCATGGGATAGGGCCTCCTACTCGAGCAGGGGGTTGGACTAGATGACCTGCAAGGTCCCATTCTGCTATCCTGTTAAGAACCAGTGTTTTGGAGCAGAAGACTGAAGCTGTTGTGGTTCCAGTTTTCATAACGTTCTCCAAAAGTTCTGGCTTTTGGGGTTAAAGCAAGCAGAAAAGTTTATCAAGCAGTGTAACTTATTATTTTGTTATTTACTATCTATTTAGGGGTTAGTTATAAACGGGGAGTTCTAGTCTCGTCTTAGGCATGAAAGCCGCTGAGTGACTTTGGGCCAATCACCAGGAGACGGTGAGTTCTAGTCCTGTTTTAGGAATGAAAGCCGGCTGGGTGACTTTGGGCCAGTCACCGGGAGATGGTGAGTTCTAGTCCTGCCTTAGGCTTTAATGTCACCTGGGTAACTTTGGGCCAATCACCAGGAGACGGGGAGTTCTAGTCCCACCTTAGGCATGAAAGGCAGCTAGGTGACTTTGGGCCAATCACAAGAAGACCCGGAGTTCTAGTCCTGCCTTAGGCATGAAAGCCATCTGGGTGGGGCTGAGAGAGCCAATCACACACAGGATTGTTGTTGTGGGGAAAATAGGAGAAGAAAAGCCTATGATAAAAAGTCCGCCATTCCAAATTATTTATTAATAGCAAAGTCAGGGCATAACTGCCTGAAAACATTCTCTCTCTGTCTCTCTCTTTCTCTCTCTGTCTCTGTGTCTCTCTGTCGGTCTCTATCTCTCTGTCTCTGTCTTTCTGTCTCTCTCTCTGTCTCTCGTTTCTGTCTCTGTCTCTCTCAATCTCTCTGTCTCTCTCTCTGATGCTCTTTCTCTGTCTCTCTCTTTTCCTCTCTGTCTCTGTCTTTCTGTCTCTCTCTCTCTCTGTCTCTCTGTCTCCGTCTCTCTGTCTCTCTCTGTGTCTCTCGTTTCTGTCTCTGTCTCTCTCAATCTCTCTGTCTCTCTCTCTGACGCTCTTTCTCTGTCTCTCTCTTTTCCTCTCTGTGTCTCTGTCTCTGTCTCTCTCTCTAATCTGAGCCCTTGTCACCCCTCCAAAGAGCTGTCTCTCTGTCTCACTCTCTCTCTGTCTATCTCCCTGTCTCTGTCTCTCTATCTCTCTGTCTCTGTCTCTCTTTCTCTCTCTCTGTCTGCCTCTCTGTCTCTCCTTCTCTCTCTCTTTCTCTCTCTGTCTCTATCTCTCTGTCTCTCTCTCTAATCTGAGCCCTTGTCACTCCTTCAAACAGCTGTTTCTCTCTCTCTCTCTCTCTCTCTCTGTGTCTCTCTCTGTGTGTGTGTCTCTCTGTGTGTCTCTTTATCTGCCTCTCTCTCTGTCGGTCTCCGTGTTTGTGTCTCTCTCTCTGTCCCTCTCTCTGTCTGTCTGTCTCTCTGTCTCTTTCTCTCTCTGTCTTTCTCTGTCTCTGTCTCTCTCTCTCTCTCTCTCTGTCCCCCTCTCTCTCTGTCCCTCTCTCTGTTTCTGTCTCTGTCTCTCTCTCTGTCTCTCTCTCTCTCTCTGTGTCTCTCTCTCTCTGTGTGTGTGTCTCTCTCTCTGTCTCTGTGTGTCTCTTTATCTGCCTCT